TGTGCCAGCATGACCCCTCTGCTCTCTTGCAGGGTGCAATGTCTGCTGTGCAGTCTGGCTCTGCAGAGCTACAGAGCACACTGTAATCCCTGCACAGAGGTTTAGGTGACTTGCAGCTTTGCCTGTCACCTCCACTGTGCTCCCTCGTACATCACCATTACAAAAGCACAGCTGACCTGGAGCTCTCACTGCCTGTCCTCTTCAGGCTGTTGGGGTTGCGGATGAGTTTGTCCAGCATGTTGACTATCTGTCCAAATTTAGGCCTGTCACTGCGTTCCTTCTGCCAGCAGTCTAACATCAGCTGATGGAGAGCAATGGGGCAGTCCATCGGGGGTGGCAGCCGATACCCTTCTTCAATGGCTTTAATAACCTATAAATGGCACAATTAGGAAGACATTAGAGAACATCAGACACTACTCACATCTACCAGCTGAGTATCATTTATCCTAGGGCGATCCAAAGTATGGAAACAAATCTGCAATTAAGTGAAACAACATGGAAAATTGCACTCAGACTCAGGCAGTTGGTGGTCTCAGAACTGTCATTCCTCCTCAGCAATTCAAAACTAAAAGGGTACAGCATCCAAAGCAGACATCAGACACAGCAGGGCAATGTATCACAAAAGAGCACACTGGATACAGGGATGACAAAATAGCCTGGGTTAGAATTAAGCAACTCTCCTTGTTGGACAGAGAAGCAACAGCTCTACAGCAAATCTGTCTGTTTTGGGTGCGATACACTGAAGATGACATTTTCCCCATCATTTTTAGGGTACAGCAGATCACCCCCTCCTCCCTCTCTTGGGCTAGCTCATCTCTGTCAGTAACACAGACCTTGTAGAGAACTTGTTCTCTCACCACTGCATGCTCTGAGCCAAGAAATGCAGAGATGGGAACCTTCTTGTGCAGCTTTATCAAGAAAGTTACAGAAGTCCAACACAGCAGCTTAAGTATGCATTTCCTATTTAATAGAAACCACAAAAACTCACAAGCTGAAGTCATTTCAAGCCGTCCAAAAAGGGCTCCAGAGCTCAGTACTCTGATGGCTTCTTGGCTCTCTTAAGAGAACAGGACGTGATCAGGACTCAATTCTGTTACGACAGGGACATGACCCAGAAGCCTTCAGATCTTAATTAATCAATATGACTTTGCTGGCAGGATTCACCATGAGACTAGAGACCAAATTGCACTAAATTCCCTCATTTTGGTCTTGTCCAATTAGCAGCTAAAATCCACTGGGAGAACAGGATGAGGGATATGTTTGCACTATTATCAGCTATTCAGTGACCACAAACAAAGTGTCTCTCACTACTCCAGGAAGTATGAAGATCCTTTTGATTTCTCTTGATTCAACAGACACTGAGAATAATTTGAAATCCACTTCTGCTTTGTTGTTAAGAACACTGCTCTCACCATCATTAAGGAGAAAAAAGTGGTATGTCTATGCCATGTACTGAAAAGAGGATGCAAAGACAGTAATAGTGGCTTTCGCTGCCCTGTTCAAGCCAGCCGTCTCGATGTGGTCTAGCACCGCACATGGGCAGCGCATACCAGCCTAACCTGCCAGCTCTGCGTCTGCTGCACTGCGCTCCACTGTGCTGTGTAGACATGCCTGACATAACTGAGACACATCTGGTGTTTTATTTTCTTGCTAAGTCTTGATGACTTCCTGTTAGCAAAGGAAGGCAAGACTGGGTGCCAGAAGAGACATTTCACTTCAGAGGGAAATTAAAATTATATCCCCCATTTAGATTAAATGCCATCCGCATCTAGACACTCTTTGAAAATGTTCAGCTCTAAATAAGAAAGCAGATGACTTGTAAAATGACTTAACCACTCCCATGACTACATATTCAGATTAACATTTTCTTCTTCCTTTACATGTTTGTAAATCCCCTGGGAAAAGAATTATGGATAATCTCTGCCTCATTTTCACTGGGATTTTTTTTTTTTCATTTACTAAAAATTCTATTAGCAAAAGCTCTTATTAGCATTATTATTAAATACTCTTCTGGAATAGCAGCCATTGTGCATGCTCCCTCTTGGAATACACTGAAGTACTCCAGATGGTACGGTTAAACAGGACATGCATAATTTAAGAATGGTCATTTAGGAAAGCTGCTTTTTAATGTCCTCAGGGGGGCAGCTATGCAATTGTCAAAAGGATGCTCTGACTGATAATCAGAATTGGATTTCATATGTGTTGTTTTAGATATCCTACAAGAAATAAAATCATCTGGAAGAATTACAAGCATACTGGGGCTTGAAGAATTAACTACTAATAGGAAGCCCCACTAAATTCAAGTGTTTTCTCCTATAGACTTTCAATAAAGTTGAGATTTGAGATCAACATTCAAATCTTCCTTCTCTTGACAGCATTATGATCTGACAGTTTAAATGGATTTGTTTCCCTTTCATCCATTCTTCTTTCTTACTTTAATTGCTTATAATATTTTCTGCAACATTAAAAAAAAAGGAAAAAGAAATAAAAGAAAGGAAAAGATACATGCACAAGTTATAAGACCTAACTTGAGAATCCCCTATTCCCTGACCATAGACCAGGCTTGAAGTATCCAAGGAAGTCTTAGTTCCAGAGAGGTTGCCTAAGAAAACAGGAATCTACCATCCTTGATATCCATTTAAAAACTTGGAGTAAATGTCTTGTAACCATATAGTAACTGACACAGAAACACACCAGCAGACATCTGAGGACAAAGATAAAGGTGTGGCAGGAAAGGGAGAGAAAAGGAAGAGGAAGCTCACATCTTGATTGGACATATCCCAGTAAGGCCTCTCTCCATAGGACATCACTTCCCACATGACGATGCCATAGCTCCACACATCACTCGCCGATGTAAATTTACGGTAGGCAATTGCCTCTGGTGCAGTCCACCTGATGGGGATCTTACCACCCTGTCACAAATAAAAGAAACCACAGGTTAGTGAGTCACTGACCCAGTAATGTGCGTGGCTGACACTGTTCTACACTGGCATTAAAAACACAGAATGGTTTTCTGTACACAATTCCAGAATCCTTCTTAAAAAGGCATCCACTTTCTTCTTTCTTGCCATAAAACTGTCAGATCCAACCAGGAGGCAATGCTGCCCATCTGTTTTCTTTAGTCACAAGGAGGCGAACCAGTAAATTGTTAAGTGTATTTTTATCAGGCCTCTAAGAGATCTCTGCTTAGGGCTATGCTGAAGCATGAGAACAAGCCAGGGGTTTTACAAAGTATATATTAGAGATTTAGTTGACAAAACAAATAAGTACATGCTGTTAATTACTATTTCCTTGCTTGCCTGTCTGACCTGTTTGGTCTGTTTCAGAAAAAATGGGATTATAAACGTTTTGCTTTTCAAAAAGGTAAAATGAAGAGAGGATAAACTGGGAAGACTTATTAATACTGTGGTGTTTCCCATGGGCGATATCCCAATTCCTACCAGGGATGTGAGAAGGCAAGCAAGCCTCTGGGCTCTCCCAGTCCCTGTGGGAGGAGTTCAACATCAGACCACAGTACAAGGCTGCTTTTGATACCTGCTGGAGAGAGCTGCCTCTTGTTACAAGACTTCTTTTTAAACAAATAAAACCACTTGGGCATCTGATTTGGGTGACTGAGGTCCTGCACTGTTTTAAAAGGAACTCAGTCCATCCTGTTTATCTGATTTTGCCTTAGCTGAGTGATCCCAGGCCAGAGGTTTCTCCTTTTGTTTATGCTAATATACAAGGTGTTTTTAATTGAGTTTTTGGTTTCCTGCAGTTCCATCTGGTGAACGACTTAAGCTGAACAAAGGTTTTAGGGTTTTTCTCATTTGCTTTTATGCTTTTTTGATTAAGTTTATTTTGGTAGGGTTTTTTTCTCTGCAATCTTCTAGATAGTTTTTTTTAATCCATAACTCAGTACAGTGTGTGTATACTTAATGGTTTATTGTTCTAATATCTCTCTCAAATGTTTAACATGGACTTGTTCCAAAGCCAAGTGAAATCAAAAGGGGTCCTTCTCCTGGCTTCTTTGGCCTTTGCATCAGGACCTTTGTGAATCAGGCTGTAGCAGTACGGGCCTTGTGTGGCTATAGGATGCTTTCACTTCAATGAGTTACACTATTAACGGGGAGCAGAAGGTACCATTCTCTTAAAAAAGGATGCGTTAAAAACTGCATTCTATTGCATCATCTCTGGTTATGAAAAAGCTCTCCTCCTCCTTCCAGACATAAATGCATGGAAATTGTTTATACATGGTTGTCACCCTAAAAGTTGCCAATAAGCTCCTTTTATTTAGCTGCTCGAGTACAGTGGAGTTCATCCAAATTTTCCTGATCCCTCATTACTGATACCAAATGAAGACAATGCACTGTAATGCAAATGTCATTGATTCCCTGTAGTTTACTCTTGAGAGCAAACATAATAATATATCTCCACTCACTGAATTCAAAGGGAAGCTTTTCAATCATTTCTGTCTTGCCCTTGTGTGTTTGTCTAAACTTTGATTTCCCTGAATACAGCTTTTCAGACCTCTGCTTCTGCTTCTTCCACTTGCTGCCCTTATGAGTGATAAACACTGAGGCTGGCCAGCATTTAATACTACATGTGTCTATCTTTCCCTGTAATAAGCTGTGAATCCATTAAAGGATGAGTGTTGGGATTAAACTGCAAAATCTGAGGGCTGCAAACAAACTGCACTAGGGAGAACAGATGGAGAATGGCAGATACTTTAAAACGAAGAAAATAAGAAATTAAAAGAGAAGACTTTATAAACTCTGACTTTTTTTTTTCCTCACGTGCATGTTAATTACAGAGGTATTGGTAGAAAGGCTGGAATTGGTCAGGATGTTGTTTTGTAGCCAGAAGTACTTGCATTAGTACTATTCCATGTGCAGCACATTAAAATGACTTTAGTAAAATTATTTAATGCTAGGATGCTGAAATATAGATAAAATGAGAAAGACATTTAAAAAAGAAATGCAGGCCTCACATTCTTCCCAGTCCAAATTATTTAGGTTGAATTTATGACTAGCTCTGTGATGGGCAAAAGTGGATTTATCTTTTCTTTTCTTTTCTTTTTTTTGGTGGTGTATCTACACTTGCTGAATCAAACCTCAGTGGGACTAACTAGCCACTTGCAAATAATTACGCACGTCTGTAGACACCAGAAGAAATAGAACCCCAAGCTCTAATTTCTGGCATCAGATTCTGTCATGCACTCTAGCACACTGAAGGAACCAGAGGAATACTGATGTAGCCACTGATGTAGCAATAACACTACATCGATTTATATTGGCTATGAAATCTGGACCAATGCTTATTTTTAGGTTGTGATAGAGGTTTTCACTTATGACTGAGATTATTGTAAAACAAACCACTGTCATTTCCCACAGAGTTAGACAAAACCAGTATGTAAGCAAGAAAACCCACTGGACATTTACTTTCCCTCCTTACCCGTGTGGTATAAGCTGCTTCAGGGTCGTCTTCCAGGACTCGGGACATGCCAAAGTCAGACACTTTGCAGACCAAGTTGCTGTTGACGAGTATGTTTCGAGCAGCTAGATCCCGATGCACATAGCTCATGTCAGACAGATACTTCATTCCTGAGCCAATGCCACGAAGCATTCCCACCAACTGGATGACTGTAAATCTGCCATCGTTCTTCTGCATAAGAGGAAAGGAAGAAAATCATAGACCATTAAGCTAAAAGCTATATTATTGCTATTGCTGAAACTGGCAAAGAGCATATCTCTGGATTCCCATCTTCTCTCAAATAAAATGCAATATTATTTCCTCACTCTCCTGACTAGTGTCTATAATTCATCAGTAAAGTACAAACCCAGAGGTTCTGTCATAGCTTCCAGTGATGCAGTATTCAGTTTTCAATGAATCTGGTTTTAATAAGTCTATAGCATTGCAATGCTTTTAAAAATGCAGCAAATCAGAACTGTTCCCATTAAACATGGATTATTTAAGACCCTGCTATTTTAAACATTACATTTATTCTATATTCTTAAACTTTACATTTATTCTGGTTTTCGATAGGAGCAAAACCAGAAAACAGAATTTCCCAGTGCAAACATCATTCCTTTAAAAATGCTGAATTTTCAGTATCTTTCTGCAAAAAAAGGACCAGAATGAAAACCAGAAAATGTTTCCCAGTATAAAATCTCCTTAGCTTAATATGAAGAAATCACCTACCCTGAGGAAGGCATCCAAGGAGCCATTCTCCATGTACTCAGTTATAATCATTACCGGTTTACCTGAAGTTCACAGAAAGAAAAACACAAGTCCTTGATGAACACTGATGTTAATGGGATGAAAATGGTTTGCACATGATTTTACTGCCAAGACACCTGGCTTACACAGTCTAATTTAATTTGAAAAGCACCGAGCTTCTGCCTCAGCTGTGGGGAGCAAGAGAATAAATATTATAGGACAGAAACATATAAAGGGCCCCATCTGGAAGGTCAACCCTTTGGTTGACTCATTGACAAGGTCTTTAACTGAAGTGGCTCCTGTTCTCTAAGGAATGTATGAACTGATAATTGAGAGCTAAGAAACAAAGATCTGTTCAAACTTGACAAAAATCTTTAGTGTAATTAAATTGCTTGCAGACTAGAAAGCCTGCTTCTTTCAAAATGGAATCTGTGAATGCTTTGGTCTCTCTGCCTCTTTCGAAAGATCAACACTTTAGGTGAGTCAGAAACTGTCAGCAGCTACAAGGTGGATTCAAGAATGCAAAATATAAGCTGTTCCTCACAACTTTGTCTGTCCTAATTTGTATTCCTTGTCTCTTGTTATTTATAAATGAGCCAAAGCCATTTGCCTCATGAAGTCAACCATAGGATAAATGATTCAATGAATTGTGTCACATGTGGGGCATAGTGCTTCTGCAGCACTCAGCTTTCCACACTGCAGTATAGAGAGCCAAGCTGGGCAATCTGAAAATAAATGTAATGTTAGTGACACGGGGATGCTTTCTAGGTACTCTCCTGCCTAAAACAACAGCAAATACATAAATAATGCTTGATGTTGTCTTCAAGAGTTTTACAAAGCCATACGATGCTGAAGCTGAAAACATTTAGGTACACAAGTAACACTAATTATTTCATGTGGTTAAAACATGCTAGATACTCAGCATCTAGATATTTGCAGAAATAGGTCCAATGTCATCTCCATTCTAAAAGTCAGCAATAGGAGACATAGAGAAGTTACTTATCAAAAGTTGAACGGCAAAAGCCCAGTCCCGAGATGAGCACTGTTAAGCCCAGTTGAGGTCAAGAGAGCACCTGATGATCAGCACCAGGCTGGCATGGCAACCCTTCCTCTGAGTTATGCCTTAGCTACAGGAACTATGGAGTTTCTTCCTAAATAAAACAGTGTCCCAGAGAAACTCTGCTTTTATACTTCCTGGAGCAGCTCTGAATAAAGGAACATTATGGTGAAAGAAGGGTTCAATGGACACATCAGCTAGACTGTATATAACTCAGTTCTGTCTTGACATCAGAACTACTCAACTTTTCCTTGCTTCTGTCACCAGCAAGTATCTGCTCCAGAACAACCAGCTATGAAAATTACCCTACCGTGAAATGCTGCAGCATTTGAAGTTCCCCTAATCATTTCTACCTCAGTGCATTTTTCACCAAGATGCTTTTATCTTCATTTGTCAGGGATTTCTGTTCTTGAAGCAGCCTTTTTTAATTAGAAAACAATATGCTATAAGGACTGACTGTACTGAAAATTTTACATCTTTCCACTTAGGCCAACATATATGTGCGATACATCACTCATTTCACTCATCATTACTTATTTCACCTTTTCAGTCCCAATCTATCCTTTGCAGGCCTTTTACTATTCCTGCTTCTCCCTCCCTTCCCAACTGATATCAAAACTCTTACTGTTTCGGTCCCACACAAACTGGCATGCCCATGAAATGTCAGTCTGGCAGCTGAACTCTTTCTGATTTGCATGAACGCAGCAGAGAAGCGATGGTACTGCATAAAGCAAACTGCTCCGAATGAAGGGCTTAGTGACCTTACCCGAGTACTTACACTCTTAAGGAAAAGGATGTGATAAACCATCATTCTCCTTCCAATTCACTTTTGCAAGCATTCTTTGGTAGGAAGAGAAAAAACCCCAACCAAATCTGCATATGTCACTGTTTCATTTATCCTTTGCAACTGTGACCAGAACCCTTCCACTGAACAAATATAGCTAAATGAGTTTTAATTAACCTTCCTCAATCAAAAGATACTATGTCAACGTAGAAGGGAAGAAAGGGAGACTCTTTCAGTGCATTAACATGTAATTTCATTACTCAGGCACTTCTTTAGCAGAGGAGGGGAATAGAGAGAGGAGAAGTAACCATCAATGAGTCAATTATTAAAGTACTTGACTAGCAGCCAATAATGTATTCATGGTTTTTTGCTGCCTCTCTCAACCCCCATCTACACCACTATTTATCTCACATTTTAATTTTCAGTTTGTTAAATGCATTCATTTATCACAGCGTTCAGAAAACCTATGGAGAAATTGAGATAAATGTCTTCCTAAGTAGCCCCGTTTACCAAACACACCAGATCTGAGGTAACCGAGCTGGCTTGCTGTGGAAGCATCGCTTGCTGTGAGCCAGGCAATGAAATATTCTCAGGTCAGGCTGCCACCTCCTCGGTGAAAATTTCAAATAATTTTACTTCAGTGACAACTGCATTATGCAAATACATGCAGTCATTTATAACTGCTAGAGCTGTAATAGTTCAGGGGTTTCCAGCCCTGGTGGGATTTCAACACAGAGATTCCCCTGTTGCCTCCTTTTTACAGAGGTGCTAGAAAAACCACTGTAGCAAACACTGTGGCCTGACCACAACCCCCTCCTCTCCTTGTTACAACAATAACAAAAAAAGAAAGAGAAAAACAGACATGCAAAATTTAAACTAGCTATTATCTTTTAATTTCAGTTTTGAGGGAGGCTCTCAGTAAACGATGGGCAAAATTAGTCCAAGCCCCTAATTTCCCTAGTGGAATCTGTCTTGAAAAGCAAACAGCAACACACTGTATGAGACATTTAACAACTGTGAGAGAAGGAAGACTAGGAAGGGGAAAAACACAAATGAATAAGAGTAAGATTTCCAGAAACACAAATGGCAGAGTAAGCACCCAGCTCCCGCTGACATTCAAGAGGGACAGGGTTTTTCAGTGGTGCTGATGGCTTTGACAACACTCTAGGGAGATACTTTGTTCTTCTAGTAATACTTTACTTTTTAACTTTTGATCCACCATATCTAATTTTAATTCCTAACACTATTAACACTCTGCATTCATGTTCATCATGCGCACCATTAGCTGCAGAAGGTAAACTTCACAAAATCCACTCTCTAACAGCAGCTCACAAGATCACTCTCTGCTTTCTTTGCTACTTTCAGGATGAGCCCCTACATCCAAATGGTCTTTTAGGATTAGGGATCAGTGCCAGGCTTTGCCGACACACTACCTAGGGCACTTGGAGTAGGGACAATAACTACACAATCACAGTAGCACCTTATCAAGTCAGACTCAAGCATGTCTTGTCTCATAGGTGTATTTTCAGTTCTAGCCTACAAACAGCATCCAGTTAGCACCATCATTCTTTTTTTAAGGCAGGGTTCATGGCACAGTGAATGCTAACAGACTTAAAAAAAACCCAAACCAACCAAACAAAAAGGTCGGCCAGGTAAATTCTGCAGAGTGATACTATCACACCTGTAAAGCAGAGAAAACAAATAAGCAAGTTTCACACTAAAATAGCCTACTTCATTTCAAAGGCTTGCTCCTTACATCTGTGCTTTGTACCTTAAACATATGACTCTGTAGTTTTGTTTTGGTATTTTTCCCCCAACCACTTTAAATTCTTTGCTTACCATCTGCTTTTGCCTATCCTGTAACAATCAGCTCAGTCTAGCAAAGATGTGAAAGATGCCTGCTTGGCATAGCAAGAAGGGGGAAAAAAAAAAGCCAACCTCTGCAGTATTAATTCCCCCTACAAAATCTTGTACAAGCTGCCTACAGATAGAGTATCAGTTGAAACCATAAACCCATTTATAGCTGACAACAAGATTAATGACTTGTCTTGCACTGATTTCCTCCTATTAGCTATCAGTGGATCTGTTCCATCTGTCATTTCACAGGAAAGAGGGTAAAAAGAAAAAAAAAATAGCACACACCACCACAGGCTTAATCTCTCAGTGACTTCCAAATTGGCCTTGTCATTAAAATGACCTACTTACATTTAGTAACTACACCCTCCAAGTGGATGATATTGGGATGGTCAAATTGTCCCATGATGCTGGCCTCACTCAGGAAGTCTCTCCTTTGTTTATCAGTGTAACCAGCTTTTAGAGTCTTGATAGCAACACAGATCTCTCTTTTTCCTGGTACCTTGAGACGTCCACTGCATACTTCACCAAATTCGCCTTCAGGAGAAAGGCATAAGAATCCATGGTTATGAACATGAAGCACACAGTTGTGTTGTTAAACTGTTAAGTCAGTTAATTTGGGGGAACTGCCATACAAAAATCATTGAATCCCATGTTTCCTAAAAGCAAATTTAAAACTATATTTACAGAAAAAAATGCAAAAGTTCTGGCACTTACTTACCCACACCAATAACTTTTTCAATCTTTATGCAGGACGCATCAATTTCTTTAGCAAATTCCCTCACAGCTTGGTTTGGATCCTCATATGTAAAAGGATCCACATATGTTCTAACACCTGCAAGGCAGAAATGTTTTATTTGAAGTCACTGATCTACATGCTGCTGAACACAGAACATATGAGACTGAAGCTTTAATGATATACAACAGCAAAGAGTGTACAATAAAAATGCACTGTAAGCCAGAAATGACTAATGAAGGAAGGAAGGACAATGTATTTTTCCCCCAGTGTGACTTTTTAATGTAAACATTTAATGCTTTGCAATATTGATGTAAGGGATCAGGCTTTCGCCAATAAATGAGCTTCACATATCACTGCCATCACTAACATACCAATAGCCTGTCTATGGACCCGTGAGACTAAAACACATCACGTTTCTCTTTTGGGAGGCAAGAAATTCTGAGCTCAGGTCCTAGGTTTGGTACCTGGATGACTGAGATAGAAGTACTAGTAGGATACAGTCCTGAAAAAAAGGCAGCAAAGTTCACATTTCCTTTCCTGCAGGATTGCCTCCGGCCCACCCAGAAACTGCCTTAGCAGAGTATTGTAGGG